TTTGGCTTTGGCAACTGAAAAACAGGCATTAAATACCTTTTTAACCTACATCTAAGATCCACTGAGGATTACATACAGCTTGAACAATTAAAAAAGCCAGTTATTACTAGATTACTGAAATATGTCATTAATCTTACTTTTTTGATGATATAAAAACAATAGCAATTTTAGATTGGATTTTAAGTTAGTTTTGAACGTTTAGAGAGAGTTATGGATATTGGCAGGAAGTAATTAAAAGAAAACAAATCACTTAACTATTGTAAAGATACCTAATACCTTCCAATGGGATACACTATTATTAATTTTCCCTGAGTAGAGAAGTTGTTGAAATTTTGATGTTGTAAACTTAACCAGCAGTTTCTGCCCACGTTTCCTTGCTGATGGAATGAAATATCGTAGTAGGTATTCGTAGCAACATCGTAGCAATTCAGAATTTGGTGGGAAAGTCGCCTTTTGTCTCTCCAGTGTGTGTTATGTGGTTAGCGATACGGTAATAACTTTAAATGATAGAGTCAGCATACAATAAGTACACTGGATTGGGGCAGCTACTCCAAAGCCACTCTCCTAGGCACGACGCATGTCCGGCATTGTTCAAGTTCTAGTTCAAATGGAAGGAGCTTGCAGTGAGCAATGTTAGCTCTCGGCTCTTCAGCAGGCGCCCTTATCAGCATTTTATGTTTTTATTATTATTATTATTATTAAATATTTGTAAATTCCTTGAGTTGAGGTGATTTGCATGGTCTGAAATCTATATGGAGTAATGTATATTTGATAACGGGTAAGAATATACATGTTCTGCATGTATACTGGGCTTTTATTTTTATGAATCTAACTGGCATCATAATAAATAGAATTATTAAGGCCTCTTGTATGACAGTTTTCTAGGGAGGGCTGATACTGAGATTATAATGATTGTACACCCAAACCATAACTTTTACAATCATATGTTTATTTTGTATTACAGAATATAGTTCTCTTATGTGAGAGGGCGATGGGGGAATGTGTTACCTCCAGGTAACCTTAAATCTTATTCTCTTACTGAGTATCAATTTCAACAAACTTCTGAAAATTCAAAAATAAAAAATATTTTCAGCCTTGGCTTCAGGAAGAGGAGAGATAACAGCATTAAGACACAAACCAGGGCAGTTTTAGCTGCTGAATAGCCTACAAGCACTCCAACTGTATTCAGAATTGGGTGCATTAAATCTTTGGAGGCACCAGCTGGAGCACTTTGGCAGAGCTGAGGGCGTGTTTTGAACAGACCCGGAATGCCTTTTCCGGCAGCTATAGCCCTTCTTACTGCCTCTCCTTGGTGGTGGTGTTGAAGGAGCAATGTAAGCATCTCCTCCATGGGGTCTAGAAATTACCAATCGGCAATTAGTGATGAAGGCTGTGAAAGAGGAATGTAAGGAATTTACTTGCCATTGAATTATTCAGCCATGATACAGGATATGAGAGGAGACACTGTAATGCCAGATAAAGTGTAAGGGTAAAGGGACAAAGTGAAGTTCTGAAATTAATGGCGTTGCAGAAGCAGAGCCATTTGAGTGGCAGTCAGGTATGAGCAGCTTCTGGTTACTGTGGCCCATGCAAAGTTTCAGTGGGCAGTTCAGCCAATTTAGTGGTCAGTTCCTTTTTTTCTGGCGGATATGCACTGTCTGGAAAGGTGAGTGTAAGTGCTTTTGTGGGACCAGAATTAACACTACAGTGATTTGTACCTTCATGGTACTTTCTGTATCCATGTTTACAGCCTTGCTGAATGTGGTGCTGAATGATTCTGCCCATGATAATTCATAATCTGTTTAGAAGGAGAAATACAACCCTGTCATTACGAGCATGCAAGATGATACACAAATGGCATTATCTTCTGTCTAAACTTAAATTTCAGCAGTGGTAATTAAAACGAGGGAAAAAAGTAGTTTTAATATATATCAAATCTGGAGTAATTAACATTGCCACATCTTTCAGCATCCTAAAGACAATGATGAAAGGCATCCCTTTTTGGCCATGCCCTGCCTCCCCACTCCACTGCTCTGTGCTGCTGCCTGTGCCCAAACCTGGGAGAGAGAAAGGATCTAAAACACACTAACAGGACACGTGCACTGATAGGCCCACTGTGCCCTTGGAAAGCATAAATGCTTCTTCAAATCGCTGGGAGAGAGTGCGCATCTCCTGACGGGCAGATTGCCAGCTAGACCACATGAACTCCTCCATCTCTGGATGACCAGATATCCTACAGGCACGTTCCTGTCAGGAGGTGTACGCCTGCTGACTGGCAAGCTGGCAGGCGGACATTTGCTTGCGTTAGTCTGCAGCCTCTTGCAGGAGGTACGTGCTGTTTCCCAGACCTTTCGAAGACCAAATGGCACGTGCAACCTGTCAGCCAGCAGCAGGTCAAAAAATTACCAGGGCACATCTGGGTCTGCAGGCTGTAATGCATTTCCAAGAATGTTGAAACCCAGACTGTCTGAAACCTTCTACATAAAATACATGAATATTTAGAATCATTTAGGTTGGAAAAGACCCTTAAGATCATCAAGTCCAACCAGATGTCAGTAACATTTTAAACAGAATGTGTACATAGTACATAGAGAGGGCTATTGAGTGACCTGAGAGTGAGCTTCGTCTTGTAAATGATCCATCAACATTGTATCAGGAATGAAACGCTACTTTAGGATGGTAAAATAAACAAAAAGCAAACTCAAATCTTTGCATATCTATTTCTCAGGTGTTACATGTTCCTTATAATAGTTTATTAGATAAATGAAACAGATATCCGGTATGCAGTGTTTACTTTTTTCCTATCCTTAGATCTTTGTTGTCAGTCCTTTTACGGACTACTGCGGAGATAAAAACTCAAAAATTCGTAACATTTTTAGTCTGCTGTGTTAGCATTGCACATTTTTTTATTTTGCAACTAATTAAAAAAATTATAAAAATCACTTTTTATATACACAAAGCATGAATCAAATTAACAAAATAAATAAATAATGCTGTGTTTTAAGGTTTTTAAAACAGATACCTGCAGGGGAGATTTAAAAAGTAATTTGAGGTTAAAATAAAGACTGCTACTTGAATAGGGATATATAAACAAATTCTGTAGTTGTTGTATACCTCTGGAAGCTATTCAGTTGAAGTCAGTTCCAATAAACTGGTTTACTGCAGTGATACAAACGCTATTTCACTGCTTGCCTTGCTGTATCCTACCACACATTCTGTTGGTGTGCTCCTGGATCTGAAGAGGTAAAAGCAGCTGCTTTAACAACTTTGAGGTGGAAACACAATCATTTCGTCCTCATCTAGCAAGATGAGATGCTACGCTTTGGAGGACAGCATCACAACCGCTCGTTGCTTAGTAACAGCTATACCTCCTCAAATTCACTTCCAGCACCCTGCCGTGCATCCCATCCGGTTGCAAAGGCTTGGGTATGTCAGATTTGCTTTAGCAGTTCCTAAATTGATCATCACCTACTGTTGGTAGCATTTCTCCCCACCAAAAACTATTCCTAAGACCTAGGAGGTGTGAGACCAGGCCTTGCCGGTAAAGATTCTGATGCTTTCAGAGCACTCGGCAGTACTGTGGTAGCTTTTAGATGTACTAGAAGTACCAAAAAGGAAAAAAAAAATAAGGCACCAGTGTCTGAACGCCTCCCCTTGGTACTGCTCTGACCATAAACAGAATACATGTAATGATACATAAGCTTTGTAATCACTGTCTACACACACAGTGTTTGAGTTACTGATCTGAAGTTCAGGTGTGAACTTTAGATCAGTACATTTCAGTAACCAGTGAAAAATTCCTGGTTTTCTTAAATGTCACATTAAAAATAGTGCAAGGTGTAACTTAATGCTATATTATTTCTTTATACAGGCAGGGATAAAGCGGCGCATAGAACTGCCTGTGATACAGCTGTAAAAGCCACACAATACAAAAGTTCTGCGACTGGGGCAGAAAGGGAAGAAAATGGCCAAGAAATCGAGTCGGTGTTCAAGATGTGCCCAGTGACTTTTCAGGATGAGGATTCAGACACGTGAGCTGCTGATATGGGGAAGTATGTGGCTGTAATTCAGAGTGTAACTGATACAAATACAGGGGTCTGAAATGCTCTTCCATGTTTTTCTTACGATTTTTTATCTTGGTGTATTGTGCAAAGTCGCTGTCCTGACTAACAGAGCTCTGAGGGGAATCAATTAATATGTGAACCTGCTTATTCACAGTAACTAAATCATAAATGTTACATATCCTGACTGTAACAAATAAATTTTACTTTGCTAGGAAAAAAACCCAATGTGTTTTTACGTTGTCACGTGGCCTTGAAGGATTCTAGGAGTTCACTACTAAAAAAATATGTATTTGAACCTTAGCTCTTCAATCAAATAACAGTGTAACCAGAGACTACAGAAATGACTGACTACATCTTTCTGTTCGCTTAATTCTGAGCAGAATTAATTGCTGCATCAAAACCAAGACAAATCAGAGCCAGCTGTGAACTGATCCATGTAATAGACTAACATTCTAATTCAGAAAGATTTGGAGCAATACGACCTTCCTTTCTTGGAGAGTTAATATATTAGACTGTCATAGTAATCACCAATTACACGTCCGGTAAAGTTGGGTATAATAAGTTCCCCATAGTTTGTAGAGAAATGTTTTGGAATAAAAGACTCAGTCCTATCTGATTTCTTTTATATGAGAAATTGCTTTGATTATCACTAAAATTTTGTTCCTTGAGGGACTTGAAAATTATCAGTATTTGATACAAATTTATGTAGAAAAAGTTGTTAAGTATCACTGGTTTTGTGTGTGGAAAAAGTCGGTCAGTTTTGCAATAAAGGAATGTCCAACACCCCGAACAGTCGGATTATGCCAATTCAGGTTAGCCTGGCCCCAGGCCTGGCACTGGGGGGAAAAACACAAGGCTCTCCCTGCCCCAGTCGATATCCTCGCAGTGGGTGAAGGCCTGCTCCTTTTCCTCGGCAGCTTCTGGTAATGCTGCTTAGAAATTCCGTAGGAACGCTGCGTGGCCCTGGGAAGCGTTCACGGAGACAGAAGCAGCGCTGGGGGCTCTGGTGTGGTTCTGATGTGCAGATCTCATCTCTCTGCTCCAATCTTTCTGATGCAGGCTGAGGAGGAATCGGAAGTGACAGCAGAAGGAGGCTGAATTCTAAAAGCCAACCGTTACAAGATTGGAAGATTTGGCCATTATTTGATTCCTCCTCCCCAAAAAAAGCTTACAAAAAAAGCTACTGGTGTCTCTCTGGGTGTGTTACCTGTGTCGATGTAATCTCACAACCGGACAGAAGGAAGGGTGTTGAACTTAACGCTGCCTTTGAAGAGCACGCAGGAAAGTAAGGGGATGGCCTATTTATTTAGGAGCAATGCTTTGCATTAAAAGCATGTAAAAACATCAGCACACGGTAGGCTAAACTGGTTGCCTCATGCTTAAACTTCCTCTGGAAAGAAGTTGGCTTTAACCAGTGCCTTACCTGGCTTGTGACCTGAATAGCCGAGTAGCTGCTGCTTTCCGTGCGTGATGCCTTCGCCGTTATGCAGGGGCGTGCCTGCAGTCTCTTACTTCAAGAAGAAAGGAGCTACTGGCACGTGATTTTTGAGATCTGTAGTCCTAAAAAATTATTTCCATCATTTGCATTTTTCCTAGCTCTGGTGAATAATGTGGAATAGTTGGGAAAGAAGGCGCAAGAAGGTTAATGATACCTGTGCTGATTAATTTTTGGATTGGGAGTATTACACATTAATTTTACTTCAAATTCAGCTTTAAGTAACTGGGATTTGAGTTTGGCTGCTTTGCACTAGTTCGAGTAATTAAATGAACACTCAAAACTTCAGATACAGGAAAATTCTAGATGTACAGATGAGGAGAGGAAAGCCCAGACTGTAAATTGCCCCTGGAGTAAAACCTTTCCTAAGGGAGTTCCTCTGTGTGAACGTCAGCTCAGCATCTTATGCTTGAGACCCTCTCTGAAATAAGAAAGGAATTTTTCCTGAAGAAGGAAGTCGGGATCTGTCTTTTTGCATTCAATGTTTTGTGTATTTTGTTATTGTTTGTATTTTATTGCCCTCTGGTAAAGACAATTCAAATAAATTTAACTCCTGCCTGCCTTCTGAGCAACCTGGTCTAGTGGAAGGTGTTCCTGCTCATGGCAGAGGGGTTGGAACTGGATGATCTTCAAGGTCCCTTCCAACCCAAACCATTCTATGATTCTCCTCTTGAACAGCAAGATATTTATCTTCATTACAAAAGAAAATGATTTCCAAAACTAAGGTAGTAAGTGAGTGCCGTTATAACCCTGAGATGCCGCTTGCTTCTGTTCAAGTTGGTGAGTGATTGGCCATCGGAAGAAGAAAATACAAACCAACAACTGAAGCTCTGACGCGTAGCTGTTACTATTAGTCCGTTACTGAAGTGCGTGTTAACCAAGCGTGTTTCAGCCATCGTCATCCATGATATTCGGGTCGAGGAAGCCAGAAGAGCGCACACTGCGACAGCCGCTCCTCGTTCAGCCAGCGCCCGGAGAAGAACGCCGGTGCTCCTGGGGAAGGGGTTGGGCACGGCAGCTGCTGCGTGACTGGCTCGGTGTGGCGCATCGGGAAGTCACCTCCTGGGTTTTGCAGCACGGTGTTGCCTGCGGGAGCCTTTCTGGCCTCCCACCGCCTTCTGCCTTCCACACACCCGTTTAAAAATGTCTAACGGGATTTTCGTATTTCTCCGCGGGGGTTATGCCGTGTAAGCCACCCGGAGTGTGACTTCCTTCTGACTTTAAGATTTTAATTTATCGTACACGAAATACTTCAGACCTGAATGAGCTATTCCCTGCACAGCACGGGCCGTGGGGTTTCGCGCAGAGAGGCCTGCAGCCAAGCAGCTCACGTCCAGCTAAAGCAAACCCCTGCCAAAGGCTTCCGCTGGTGAAACGGCAGAGCCGGCCTCACTCCCTCTGGATCCCGTCTCCCTCCCGCTTTCTGTACTCCGTAACAGCGCGGCTGCGCTCCAGCTGCCTCCACCCGTCTGCAGGCCCACGCTTGGGCCGGCTCCGACCCCCTCCATCTGGGGTCGGCGACGCACCCGCAGCGCAGTCGCTCCCACTGGCGTCTGACGCACAAACACTGACCCCGTCATGTTCCGTCTGAACATGAGGAAGAACTTCCCTCTGAGGGTGACGGAGCACTGGAACAGGCTGCCCAGGGAGGTTGTGGAGTCTCCTTCTCTGGAGATATTCAAGACCCGCCTGGACAAGGTCCTGTGCAGCCTGCTGTAGGAGACCCTGCTTCGGCAGGAGGGTTGGACTAGATGACCCACAGAGGTCCCTTCCAACCCCTACTATTCTGTGATTCTGTGATTCT